TAGTTTGCTTCCTTTTAACCGACTCACATCCAACAAGTCGGTAGTTCTCCAAACTAGGGTCCCTTTTTTGGGTGACAGGAACTACTACTACTACTACTACTACTACTACTACTACTACTACTACTTTACCACTACTTCTTTTACTGACCTATACTTAGAGCAACAACGCTCCGATGCGATGAAAAAGCACAAAGCCGACATGTCATTTACATCGGTATTTAAGCTGTTTCGCGTGGGCGATGTGCCGAAAGCTTCGGTTTTTGCAAACCACGGAAAACACCGCAAACCACGGTGTAAACAGCATGCGTGTTTTGAGCGTTTTCATTGCTGCATCGGAGCCAACAGCAGCAACTGCAACAACAACAACGACGACAACGACAAACGGCAACAGCAGCAGCTACTGCTGCTGCTACTTCTGCTTCTGCTTTTCCTTCTTCTTGCTGCTGCTACTACTGCTACTACTACTGCTACGACTACTACAACTACAACTAAGACTACGACGGCGGCTACCACTTCTACTGATGTGCTGCTTGACCAACCTGGTACTACCACTGCTGCCCCACTGCTGTTGTGCTACAGCTTGCTCTTAGTTTCCGCCAAGCGCCAACCAGCAGAAGACACTGCCCAAACCCCACTAGTAAAGGAAGTCCCTTTGTATGAACTTCCCGACAAGGTAGTTTGGATGCATAGCGGCCAAAAGCAGGAAAAACCGCTAGCTTTTCTGTTAAGTTCCTAGCTTTGGCAACCAGAAACCTCGACAGTCACAAGATCAATCCCCGATAAGAACCGAACATCGCAACCGGGTCACATAGAAAAAAAACAAAGCATCCATCATCCAAAGTTCCATGCAGCAGGAGCAAAGAGTCTTAAGAGTCACCAGATCTCCTTTGGGGCTCACGTCAGTCACGTCATGGAGAAAACCGTTCGTGACAAAGTGAACGAACCCGAAACTCTTCACTCTTCACATCATAGACTGTACAGTCAGCACAGCATTGATGTCCTAAACTTCAGCAGAACGCGGATGATCCTGCTCATCGATGGCCGCATCCATTCTCTGGCAGCCAGGACCACCAATGGCCTCATCTAAATGCTGCTTGCTCTTCAGACTCTGACTCATGCTAGTGTCAGATCCTGATGACATTTGATGACAATGCGGTCCCAGCAACGTTCCATCCATTTGTAACGGACTCTGCAGCCACCTGTTTTGCACACCAAAATCACTGAAGAACCCCGGCTTCCGCAGTTTGCGACATCCCGGAGTGTTGATTAGATCCTGTGGCCCACAGCATCCCATGTCGTCCCATCCCCTACATCTCTTTTCTGTCTACCATTGCCGCTGCATTCGCGCCTGGGGCCTGTATCGAGTGATCATCCTTGGATAAGCAGCTGACATGGCCCAAACGTGCTCAGACTCGTCACATGTATGCAGCTAGGCCAGGCACAGCCATCAAGAGCTGAATGCCTTCTGCGGCTGCATGTAGACAACTGGTAGACAACAGTCACTCACGTAGAGGTATTGACACCTTTTGAGGGCAGCCAGGTGTCACCCAAAGCCGGCCACTGGCGTGCGCGGCGCGAAGAGTCAGTGTAACGCCACCCGGAGATGCTGGACCCGACTGCAAAGTGGCTCGGTCGACATATTCCATGTCAAGTGTGGACCAATCACTGACTCAGCCATGACAGTTCTGAGCAACCCTTCAGTGAAGCTGCTTCGATTGCACAGCATCTCTGAGTGACTCAGTGGATCTTCGCTCGGCTCTGGCAACACTGTCTCATACACTGCCTGGCCTGGCGTGGGTCTTCTCGGAACCTGTGCAAAGAATAGTTAGGACGTCCCGGGGCTATGACACGCTACGCATTGCGCATGTCTTTGGAAGGTAGATTGCATGCAAGCTTGCGCCACGGCGGGGAGGTGTGCACTTCAATATGCTTCAAGCAGCCAATTCGAGACGATGGGGACCTCCTCGACCGTCAAGACCTGGAAAAGGGCAGCACAATTTCTCTGGGATGAATCTGCAAAGCTCTTTGCAAGGATGACCAACCAGTGGGGCAGCCTCTCCACCTGTCTCGGAGTCTGTGTCGTCTGCAGAGACATTCGAAGCATCGAAGAAGGAGGCAATCATGGGACCTTCAGCTTGACACGCGAATTTGGTGCACCACATGCTGCTTGCTCATCTTGCAACATTTCCAATGGCCTGAAAGGGTGCCGTCACCTTCCACTGCTGGCCAGGCTTCAATGTAAATGAAGATCCTTGGCATTTTTTGCAACTGCCAGGAGGCCGCTGACATAGCATCGTGTGTAACACACCGTTGCACAAGAGGCTGTCTGAGCAGAGTAACACATCCCTGGTGGGGAATGTTTTTCAGGATTGCGTGAAGTGATTATCTAGTTTGTCCCAGGGTGATAGGGAATCTTCAGGATGAGAAATTCCGCCACGTTGCCTGATTCCCTGTGTCGTCTTTGTCGCGAAAACATTTCCCTTCGCCAAACAGAATGATCGTGCTCCATGCTAAGGAATTTCACACGTGGAGGTCGGCTCGTTGGCAATCCCACAACCATCTGATGCCACAGTCCAATGACAGTCCAATCAATCCAATCGATGCCAAGAATCATGTATGTCTTACTCTCCTGAAACCTGCAGTCCGTGAAGTTCCAAACCTGACGCGGAGGCAGGCAAGGAGTGTGATCAGAATAATTTGTGGCGCCATGGAATTTGTCAGTGCTGCTTGCTTACCTGGAGGTCGGCATCGATAGCGAAGTCTTGAAATTGGCAGCTCGATCCTCCCAAGGCTCCTGCTATGGCACAGCGATCTCAGACCACGGCCATGCGAAGGAGCCATGAAATGCCGGGTAGCTATTCACTGGGCTCAAATTCTTCTACAAGACTGTACGGTGGCTGTTGACACTGCGCGGCAGTCGGGGAGGCAGCGAATAATGAGTGCTACTGCAAAGACCTGCAGGTCTTTGCGGGAAGGGCCCACGATTCAAACGTCACATATGCTCAAACAGCCTTGTTCCAGAAAGCTTCGTTGACATGTTTAAATTTTCGAATATTTACGACTAAGCGTGTGCCATCGCGTGTCGGTTGTCCTTGGAGGCTTCGGATCGACAGCGAGGTGACGCCTGGCAGTTGTGATCGCTTGCCGAAAGGCCTCCGGGGCACACCGGAGCACAGAGCAGTGCCTGGCCTGATCCACCGATGGCATCCACAGCCATGGCCCAAGCGCGGCCCGAGACCATGGCCTCAGCTCGTCCACTCGAGCAAAGCCTCTGTGGCAGTATCTTTCTGACCATCCTCGCTAGTCTTTTACATCAGGAATCTACAACTTCCGGACAGTCCCTGGTCCAAGGTCCAAGGCACCTGGAATCTCACGTCGAAGCCATCCAGCGTTGGTGTAGTCAGCAGCACTGGGCTAACGGCAAAGTTGTTCGACCTGATAACCTGCAAATGCGATAACTTCGGACATTGATGTTCCAGAGCCTAGGTGCTCTGCTTCCTGCCTTGACAAACACGATCCGAGATAGCGTCCCATCGCCACGGTCTCGTTGATCCTCTACCTGGGCATGTCCCTCTCAGTGCATGCTGCTTTCCGTGCCCAATTCTGCTGTGCATGTCTGCCACCCTGCCACCCGACATACCTAGAACTTTGGACAAAACCAAGTGCACTTTGTCTTGAATCACGACTTACCACTGCTGGCCTTCCGGACTGCTGCTCAAACTAAGGTCAAGCCCCAAACAATTGCATGCCACTCGGCGTAGGCATACAGCGCGTAGATTTGTCCTGCACAGGTGCAAAGCAAATTAGTTTGGTCAGCATAGATACCGATCACAGCGGCATTCCACATATTTAGATTGCAATTCCGAGTCCGAACCAGGCTTCGTCTTTTCTCCGAAATCTATTCCACCAATCTTGCCGCAATGCCACAAGACTCCTGGATCCAGCATGCAGCCGGTCAATGCGTATGTCTGCTCCACCGGTGTGATCTGCGAGCCGGCTACTCTGCACGAGAGCCTTAGTTTCAGGAGCCAAGCACCACCGCCAGCAACAAAGGCAGCTTGTCTCAACCAGACTTATGGATCCGTACTGCCTTGTGTCTCAACAAGTGGAACTCAGATTTCTACAACGGGGTTCAAAGGGGGTTCCCAGATGAGTGTGGTTAGCAGCTGCTCCCGGATTCAGATCTCAAATCGAGCAACGCTCCGACGGCTCCGATGCTCGCCTTCATATGAGACCTCGCATGCACAAGCTTGCGACACACGGAAGTACACTTCGATGACGAAGAGATGCACAAAGTCCAACACATGTCCGCATGAAGACGAACGACAACAACTGCTTCGGAAACAAACCCCCTCCCCTGGGTGGAGGGAGGGCAGAAGATGGGGCTTGTCTGCTAGTTAGAGCAAGGCGACCAAAGCTTCAACACTTCCGTTGTGAATCTAGGAACCTAGGAGGCTCGGAGACAGGTATCCTCAATCCAAACTGAAATGTTTAACAGCCTTGGCTCCTACTGCCCACAGCCATTCCCCCAAGTGTGCACTTCCCTCGATGCTATCAAGTTGTCCGAGGCTGTTGAACGGCACCAATTAGATCTAAAGCCTTGGACAAAGTCAGCTGCAAGTCATATGACGCGCAACAGAACGAGGCTGCGAAATGAAAGCCTGGTGGGTGGCTCCACAAGGGAGGCGGCCGGCGTCACGACCACCCAGGCGCGGCCACTCTTCCTGGTCACGTCAAACAATGTCCCCACGTGTCCACATCGTTCGACAGCCAATCGTTTTTGCTTTTGTTCGATTTCTTATAATCTCGACTCCTGGGGCAGGTTTCGGAATATCAACGTGAACTTGCGAAGAGAAAGAAGTGTGTCCGACGCCTCGGAACACATGCAGCGTATTCTGTAAAATACATGCGGCTAAGCATTCAGCTAAGGACGTGTAGAGTTGGCGCACGGATAATGGTCATTGCCGAGCTTCGTAGGCGTGAATCTGAAGTCCACCTCATCTCATGACATGTCATGTCAGAGGATGTGCTATTTTCTGGCTGTGCTGCACCTGCACTCCGGCAACGATTGAGCCTGTCAAGCCCGCACTTCTTCAACAAATCGGCCTGGTCGGTCGTAGGCACGGACACCAAAGCAGGCTCCACCTGAAAGCTGTTGGACGCCTGAGCAGCCATGTAAACAAAACGAAACATCCTGTAACACGATAACGGGAGGCACAAAGCCAGGAATCGTCAGAATAACATGATGGATACTGCTGCTGCGGTTAGAGAAAGCTGCACGCTGACTTGTAGCCTCTCCACATCGCGCCACAGACTTATACGTAGTAACTACGTAGTATCTATCCTGCACAGTTGTCCTGCTGGAAACAGCACCAAGTTGCACCAACGTTGATTGGCAGTGGAGTCGCAAGGGTCCCATCAAAGTGGTCGTTGCTGTCCTGTGCGAGCAGGATTTTCAGATCGAGTTACAAAGTAAGGGGAAGCCTCCAACTGCAACCCAACTCTTCCTAGCACGGATAGCCTACGAGCAAGCGGTGTGCCTCAACGTACACGTAGACCACGTAAGAAGACAAATAGACCAGCGGGCAACTTGGCAGTGTGATCACCTGCACGGCCGTAGCTTTCAGAGCTGGAATGCAGCATTCGCCGGCAGAGGCTCCCTACATCGTTCAGGTGCTTAGGTTGTTGTCATGTCTTGCTGCTCTGCAGATTTCTGCAGGGACCTCCTGAGGAAAACAACCGGTTAGTGGCGCCAAGGGCTGTAAAAGGCACTCTTTTGGGTGATTCAGAGTTCGGAAGTAGACTTCACCTGCGTCCTTTATGGTTGAGCTGCAGTTTCGAGTCTTACGTTGCCTCGTACGTCAGGGTGTAATGCAAGCATTGAAATTCTGTACATCTGAATGCGGCTGATACTCCGGACCGCGTCTGCTTGACGTCTTGATGGAGGAAGACATGCCCTGAGCAATGCCTGTAGCGATGCTGGGATTTCAAGGCCGGCAACCATGCAGTTCGTGGCATCGAAGGCATTCAGCGCATCTTTGACGTTCGGGATCGTCACCTAGGTCCCGCGTCCCTTTTGGCCAGTATGGCGACATCGAGAGCAGGAGCGACTTCTCAGAACATCTGGCTGCTTTCCAAGATGCAGACACGGCAGCAGCTTGCGCTGCGGTTGCAAGATACAGCCAGACTCTTCCGGGAGAGGACGCCTCAAACAAATCGAGAACACCACCTTCCCCTACCCTCGCTGCTTCTTTGTTGTCTAGGGTCAACACTTCGGGAACGAAACTGCGCCTCGAAGCTCAGGCTTATGCCGGTGTCCAGCCCCGCTTCCCCAACCTCTGCTGCTTTGGCAATGCGTCAAGGATGGGTTGCCCCTCAAGCGTGCGATGGAGCCGGCGCATGTATCTAATCGAGTGGCCACGGCCGGCGGAATCACGAAGTCGTTCGACACCGGCACCTACAGGCCACACCACGGGCAAGCTGCAAACAAGCTCGACGATCGCATGGCTCTTGCGATGATGGCCTCGAAGTATATCGGGTCAGACAATGTGCCGTCATTCTGCACTGCTTGATCTTCAGTGTATAAAATGAGAACATACCTGAGATTGAGATGATCTGAGATGCAAGACTGCAGTTGCTCAATAAGACTGTCACACAAACCGGTGTGTGAGGGGCGCTGGAAGTGATGAGTGATGAGTGAGGGGAGCTGAGGAGTGAGAGGGGAGTGAAGAGCGAGACGGGTGTGTGGAAGCGAGGAGTGATCTCACGAGACAATGCCTACATGTGCATCCTTTCGACGGGCAACTGCTTCGGAGCCGGCAGCAGGCTGCAACCGAAGAGCGTCAAAGTGTACTGTGCCTGCATCCAATCGTTTGTTCAAGGCCTGCTACCATTTTGGGCTGCGGTGTCCAGGCAGAATGTCGCAACAACATCTTAGCCCTGTGAAACTTCGCCAGGGCGCGGCATCGAGTGCGGGGACGCCCATCTGTCGACAACTTCCAGGACCCCATGCCTCGCAACATCAGAACTAGAACTAGGAAGCGACCATGGAAAAGTGCAGGGGTGAGGGAACCAGGGCTGGAGTTAATTCGGGTTCTTTAGGTTCAGAATGGTTCAGATGTTAGCTACAATCTTTTCGGGACATGCTCCTGGCCCAGTCTGGTGAATTTGCCAACACGTCCACCTGCCCCCGTGGCTTTCGACCAGGACACCAGCTGCGCTGTCTTGACCGCGTTGATGGTGAAGTTAGTACCTTCGAGGAGCGAACTTCAGGCAGAATCTTTATACAATGCACCGAATTGCATGTGGCAAATGCATGAAGGTGCTCGTCGCGTCTTGGACGATCGCCCACACCAAGGCTTGCGGACGCTCTGTGCTAAAAGTGACCTCGGCACCCCGTGCACGAATCAAGTGCATTGCAACCATGTCAACATGCATCCATATGCCACAGCCTTATGTTGTCCTATGGACAGGACTTGGCCCGGCTCGGCAGTTTAAGACAGGGTCGGACAGTTCTACAAGTTCCGTTGTCTGCCAAGAATCGTCTAGGCCCATTCCGTGGGGACCTTTGGAGATGTATGGCTCACCTGTCACATACGATATAGAGTTTTTGGCTCATTCCCATCTCTCTCTTCACTCCAAATTCACATGTGAACCACAACACAGCCTTTACGAAAAGGGCTTTCCTCAGACAGACAGATTTTGCAGCTCGGCATCCTGTTCGTGAAGATTACTAGCTCGTTTCAAGTCACCATCCGGCCATGCCCAGGAGTTGGAAAACGGCGGCACAACGAGCACACCTCAATAAGATGCAAGAAGCTCCCTCAAGCAAACCAAAGCCGAGGGATGCCGGGGGCATTTGGGGGTCAGAATCACCTATCCACGCCAAGATGCCGTTCGACACGCGGCCATTGTCTCGGTGCCACTGGTTCCAGAAGGGGGACCGGAACACCTGAGACTGCTCCTCTATGCATCACCATGTCGAACCATTTGAAACTCCACTGGACCAGGCATGACAACGGAGGCGAAATGGCGTGCAGTTAGAACACTGCGTCCGGATCCACGGCAACGTCCCAGTATTCCTGTCAGACTGAGGAGATCGGCTTCTGGCGCGTTGACTTCTGTCACACACCATGCTGAAGCTCCTCACCAATGACATAGATGAAGAGGCGATAGCGAACCTTTTGGCACAACACTGGCTGGATTTTAGCCTGCTCTATGTTTTGGTGCAACGCTGTCCTATATCACCCTCATCACCCTCAGCTCATCTTTCTGTGCCGTTTCTTTGCGACACAGCGTCCTAACGTTGACTTGCAGTCCCTCTGTGGGCACTTGGGACCGGTAGACAACGCCGGCACTCTACTGTACCAGGGCGTCTTGCAGGAGCAGATTTGTTATAAACCTCGAGAGGCCGCGAACTTCAGAGGTGGGTGCTGACCTTCACCGCACGACTTGTACTATTCGACTGTCAAACTTCCGTCTAATTACACAACCATACTTTGAGCGCCTGGGCCACGACCTGCTACGCAAGAGGGCAGAGTTCACTTAGTTAGTTCGTGAGGTGGGCTGAGCTTGTATTCCTCAACCGGATCTCAACTGCTCTAGACGTCTCAATTTGCAGACGGCCAGCGCCCGGCGTCAGTCCGCAGTTCAGAAACTCCCAGGTGTAGCCTGCAGATCCAAAGATATCAAGATCGAACATGCTCGACTAATTATGTTCACATGGATCCTGATGCGACATTGCATTGCAGTCTCACATGTCCATCCATCTCTTCAGCCCCTTGGCAGGTTTGGTCCCTTGTTGTGCCAGAGTCTGCTCTTCCACCCTACGCGGCTAAAGCCGGCCTGCATTGGCAGTGATGGGAACAGCGCTGTAGTAGCAGAACTGGTCCGACCCCACCCTGCAGACCAGAGGGACGGGAAAGTTCGCTTGTCCATCTGGCAGTCGCTGATTCTCAGAGAACAGCAGCAGCAACGCACAAGCTGATGACTGGACTGAGGGGTACATAATTTTTGGGGGAACAACACAGAGCCAGAAATTCAGTCAAATGATGCCACGTGGGTGGAGTCCGTGATTTGTAGAACTTCGTGAAAAGGCATCACTGAGCCAGTCAAGGCGCATGTCAACAAAGAACATGATATCCTGAAGTGCACAGCAAGTCCGAAGTCGGGGAAAGGTTGCATTTGTCTGGCTTCGAGCAAAACTTGTTGGCATGTTGGTATGACACAATGTGGGCACCACGCATTATCCTCTCGGAAAAGTCACAGATACCGTTCAGTGGCAATGATCGGTGTTCCAAGAAAGACAATCACCTGGCCTGCCTTTCCCACCTGCTGCAAAGAGCAAGGGATGCGCATGCTTCGTAAATTGCGGCAAGTCTCGTAGATCTCGATACTCTGCCTGTCCGCATGGTTGCCATTGGAATTGTTGACCTGGAGTTGAGACTGACTGGCTTGAGCTGACCTCCTTTCCGTCGAAGCCAGTTTGGTGAAGCCTAAGGCAATGGCTGCTCTCCGTGTGAGCCAGGAAGACTCTTCGATAAGACCTGCCCACGCGTATCCAGTCCTGCGGCGTTCGGGAGGGTTCTTGCGCTAAACTTTGGAGTACTCGAGCGTGTGAGCAAGGGTGGTCCCCGACGAGACGTCCTCCTGACCTGGAAATAGACCTTTGCACCACGAATCGTGGCAGGCTCCACCAGATATGGCCGGACCAGATATTCGTTGCTGACCTCTGCAGAACCTGCGGTATGCAAACTTTCCGATTCGGTGCAAAGTAAACACTTCCATGTGACAAACGCTGCCTGGGACAATTATTCCAATGGTTTCCATAATCCCGTCTTCCTGACCATTCGTGTCCTTCCAAGCTCAAGCTCGAAGCATCTTGGCATCGCTTGTAGGTTCAGATGATTCAGCAGCTCCCTGCATGCGTCCTCCAGATAGATGAAGACCTTGTACGTTGTGGGACCTCTTTCAAAGTAGCAGAAGAGGAACTCCTTGCATCGCCACAAAGCCAGCACTGTAGCATCAAGCATGATACACATGAGGTGTCGCACGAACCAGTCCTCGGTGTTTTCGAGGCCTCCAGTCACGAACTTTCCGTCCCGACGGCAGTCCGCAGCTGGCTGTCCGTATTGCCTGCCAGCTCAAGCAGACTCCCACGCCGCACAACGACAACAGTTTCAACCTGCAACGGCTTCTGATGCCAGAATCTAAGCACCCGCGCAAGAAGTTGCACTTCCGACAAGCGTCACAACTCGAGCATGAATCACAAAAGTTGATGGAAACCTCCGGGCAGATACCCTGGAAATGGAATCTTTTAACCAAACGCCAATCAAGCTGCATACTTTTGATGCTCCAAACCGTCACGAAGCCTCAGATCACAGTGTGAACAACTGCACTGCAGGCGCGTACTCACAGAGGACAGGCGGTGAATCGAAATTGCCCTTATGTTGAAGCGGCCAGACGTGCGAACTTTCGCGCAGAAGTGTTTTGCTTTCGCGGATACTTTACCGGAACTTTCGTGGAGCTTATTTACGGCCATGCGTATATGCACATGTATATATATGTAAAAATTTGAACATATAAATACAAAATAAATATAGCTAAACCAATATGCATAAGTAACTTCACATGCACATAGATGCATACAGAAAGACGAAATGGTCTTGAGCTTCATGCGCAGGAGCGCTAGCTTTTATTTCCATCGCCATGGTCTCTACGAGCAGCGTCTGCATCTAGTCTAGACTTGTGTTCGGCTACGGTGACAGAGCTAATGCAATGTTGTTCTCTGCAAGCTGCAGTGGCCTACTGTGTTATTCAAGACACACCCGCGCTGTCGCAGAGCTTTCGCGCTAATCCGTTGCAAAAATCGCCGACCCTGAGCTCACACTTAGCAACCAGGGCCGCTCACTACAACGACATCCCCTTACGCTCCACACAATCGCCAACAGGTCGCAGCAAGGTACACGTGCCTGGAGCTGATATCTGTATGGGTTGAGGGCTCATACAGTGCAACGCGCAGGAATCCAGGGCTCCGTAAGGTTTAAGTTTGAGGCTCACGACTCGCAAACTGTCATGGACACAGCTAAGAAATCGAAAAGTTTTAGGGCTCACGCGGTCCAAGAGGCCTACAGGTGCGTGCTCGTGCGGGGCTTAGTCGATGGAAGATGCTAGGCTGCTAGGGCAGGACATGTTCGTATCTTGTAGTGCGTTATTGCGTGTTGATGCAACTTTCGCGCAAAAGTGCTTTCCTTTCGCACCTGCTTTAGTGGATCTTTTCCGCACACTTCAAACAAATTAAAAACCCTGTCACACGGCCGAACCCGTATAAATCGTTGACACGGACCTTTAGAACAACATATAACAACCCTCAAGTGTCAAATCTAGAATTTGCAACGGAGTTGAAAGAGCTTACAGAGCATCACATCGGAATGACACCTGCCACATGCAGGAAAAAATCTTCGGAACATCAGTCTCCTTCCACGCGCGGCAGAGAAACACGACCCTTGGCATGAGCATACTCAACTGACAGGATGAGCGTTTCAGCTCGGCCACCCTCGTCGGCGTTGTCTGCCACAACTGCCCAGAAATTGCCGCTGACTTCCTTAGAGCGGTTGACACAACACCCGGCGACGTGGAAGAACCGAAATGGACTTCTGTCTCCAGGAAGGAAAGGAGATTGAAATACTGCACGCTTCCGCTTTGTTTAAACATCGCGAAGTCTTAGGGATTCTGTCGTGATGTTCAGGGGTTCGAGTCCTCGCGAGCCAGCCCCACCATCCTCTCTCGCATCTATTTACCTTCGGACTGGAAACCACCCCTGCGCAGGCTGCACAAAGAACATTCAAGGCCTGGTGCCGGAAGGTGCAACAGCGTGCAACGAAGCATCTGGTGTGAACTTGAAGTAGAAAACGTTCGTGGTCATTGTTGGGATAATCCGAGGCCTTGGAAGTTGGAAGGCTGTCCGGATGTCTGAAGTGCTTCGGCTCCGCGCCGACTTGCTGTGACGTGCTCACCGAGGAGCTGAACCAGAAAGTGATTGGATGAGTTGTACCAAACCAGCACGGGACCTCTTCATGGCAAATGTGACTTGCTTCGAGTCAGCCAGAGTCATGCAAATACAAACACGTGGCTGTTCCGGAAACTTATTCTTCTGGGTTGGCTGCTGACAATCATGAATGCTGAATCAGGAAGCCGAACAGCACTTCCCACATCCAGTCTTGAACGCAGTTCAGCTTTTTGAGTGATAAAGCTTGTGATATCTGCGGCATTGCAACGTTTGCAAGCAAACTTCACATCGCTATGTGTTCACTCAAGCATACATACCAGCCTTCCAAACTTCCATCCGGTTCCTCTGCCAATATTGGGCCTCACAGACACAGGTGTATCCTGGTTTGTCATACGCTGACAACGATTGATGAGCCATCGACAGAGACACACAGAACACAGCACCCTTTTGGCTAGTGGGCGAGCGATCACCACGTCCACGACGGTTATTCCGAGGTCTGACTCTGAAACTTCCTAGCTAGCATACTATCTCCTGGTTCTGTAGCTCTTTGCTACTTGTACCAAGGAAACCACGGCCGGATGAACGCTGTGCGGGGGACGCTTTTGAAACAAGATGAAACAGGGAGGCTCAGCGTGTTCGTAACTGCTGGCCGCGGAGATGGCATTCAGGCAGAACTGGGATAGGCTCCCAGCTTGCCATCGAGGTAGGCACTGCTGGCGCGCAGCACAAAATCCTGTTCGCTGCTATGATTCTTGGCTGTACGCGCCTTGCCCAAAGCATGCACTTCGAAACCTATCTCCTCGAGGACCTTGTGATCCAGCATGTTGCGTCCATCAAAAAGGAACGCTGGCTTCATCATCTTTTGATAGAACACTTCATAATCATAGGATTTGAACTCGTCCCACTCCGTGAGGATAATGATGGCATGTGCACCATCGCAAGCTTCCTCTGGACTTTTGGTGAAGATGAACTGGCTCTGGTTCACCTCTATGTCGTGATACTTGAACTCTTGCAGGGCATCTGCAATCTCCACTTTGGGGTCGTAGACATGCACCAATGCTCCGTCCTTCATCAGCATGTCGCACACGGTGAGTGCTGGAGTCTCTCGCACGTCTCCTGTGTCCTTCTTAAAAGCGAAGCCGAGCACGGCGATCTTTTTCTTCGTCACTGTGTTGAACAATGCTGATATGATCTTGCTGGTGAAGGCAATCTTCTGGTGGTCGTTCATGTCCACCACCTGCTGCCAGTATGCAGCAACTTCTTCGAGCCCGAATTGCTGGCAGATGTAGACCAGGTTCAGGATGTCCTTCTGGAAGCATGATCCACCGAAGCCCACAGAAGCATTCAGAAACTTGGGTCCAATCCGGGAATCGGTCCCGATGGCCCGGGACACTTCTTTGACGTCAGCGCCCGTGCGCTCGCAGAGTCTCGAGATTGAATTGATGCTGCTCACACGCTGTGCAAGCATTGCATTGGCCACTAGCCTCACAGTCAAATGGCTCATCTCACGGAGTCTACCAACCCCGAAGACACACCCATTACTCCCATGCCGACATCTTGAGGGGTTTGGGATGTCTGGCACTGGGCTACGCGACAGCCCAGGTTCTTTAAGAATCACCTGCGCGTAGGAATAAACAAGCAACGCTATTTGCAAACAAGGCCAAGAAGCTTAGAGAGCTCCGAGCTCCAAAGGTTGGTGGTCAAAATCTTCTCCCTCGGAACCCAGTGGGCGTAGATGTCGACCAGGACTTTGATGGCAGCCTGCTCCTGGCCACCTATCAGAACCCGATCCGGCTTGTCTAGATCCTTCATGGCTGTTCCTTCTGCCAGGAACTCGGGATTTGAAAGGATCCAGAAGTTCTTTCTGCCACCGTTGGCCTCCTCATTGGCTGTCAATACTCTTGCTATGGCTTCCGCAGTCTTGATGGGGACCGTGGACTTTTCGATTACTATTTTGCTCCGGTTTGCATACTGAGCGATGGTGCGCCCAACGCTTTCGATGAATCTGAGGTCTGCAGCCCGGCCTTTGCCCACACCTTGGGTCTTTGTGGGTGTGTTCACGGAAGCAAAGATGATGTCGGCATCCTCAATGCCCTTCTTCACATCCGTTGAAAAGAACAGATTCTTGTTCCGACATGCCTTGACCACCTCGTCAAGCCCAGGCTCGTAGATGGGAAGGTTATCGGAATTCCACGCGGCAATTCGCGGCTCGTTCATGTCTACGATGTTCACCTGAAGATCTGGGCACTTTAATGCGATGGTTGCCATGGTTGGGCCACCGACATAGCCCGCACCGATGCAGCAAATCCTGTTTAAGCGAATGCCCAGGGTGGGGTCCTCCGCCATGGCTGCGCTCGGCGCTCGGCTCGGAGCGACCGCGGGGGCGGGGGCCCTGCCCGACTTGGCTGAGCCAAATGGCTAGGCAAACCTGAATGGATTTGCAAGGGCCTGTACGTCTACTACACAACGCCCCAATGGAGGCAACTGACCCTAGCCTTCGACATAGAAGAAGGCGTGGTATGAATAAGTTGCCAGCAGCCGGCAGCCCTCGACCTGGGGTGAACAGGGAAGAATCTGCGGACACGCCGTCAGTGTCAGCCTGAAAGTCTGTCGACATTTTCGCCAAGTTGCACGATGTGACCTTAGATCATGCAGTGAATCGAAGTTCTCTTTGCACCGATGAGTGACAGAATGATGAGCTATCTCTAGATGTATACATCCCTCCGTCCATGCATAGAAGCTGCGTGTGTATGTATACACACATACACATCTACGTATATGTGCACTCATGTAAACTGAGAGTACTTGCTAGTATTTTCATGAACTAATTTCACTACTCACGCACTATGCCATAGCTTGTCAACAGATGATGGCAGCGTATTCCCGCCAATTGCCTCTTTGCAACAGGTGACTCGGCGCTGTTGTTCACCGTGATCTCAGACAGGCCACACACGACTTCACCTGATGGCACCTCTGGGCTTTCCGTACGGGTTTTGGTGGGTTTGAAGGGTGGATGCGACAGGTGACATGACAGGGGCGACACGGCCAACCGCTTTTAACACGCAAACCTTTGTTTACCAATGACCAAGTACTGAAAGAGAATGATGACTTGACAACACATTGCACCTTTAATGATGCAACCCTCGGGCTCCATTTCGCATGAAGCTATGCAACGACCAAGGCACGATGCCAGACTTCACTGCTTTCCTGTCGACTTTGTGAGTATGGTTCTCGTGCACCACGATGATCCACAAGAAGCCAGATCGTACCTTAGCAAAGGCGACTCCTGACATGCATCCTCGCTAGTCTACGGTATACAGTGTCTGTGTAGTCTCAGCACTTTAGCTTGTTATTGGTTTGCGATGGCCGTGACGGACATCATTCGGGCGTTGTTGCATTGGCCTGGGATCTCCGGAAGCTAGGCGGGCCCAATCCAAATTACAGGAGGAAGCCACGGCCTGCAAGCACCCAATCTGACATGACTGCAACTTCGAAACCAGGGACGAAAGAGTGCTGCCCGGCACGTCCATCTAGAATCTGTAAGAATACTACATCATCATCAGCCCACTGACACCGACAGATCTGCCCGAGATCGTGTGATGCTTCTCCGTTCTCTTGCTGTCCCAGCACGACATGCCTGTTTGCGTGCAATTTGGGCTGAATTCAGCGAAGACTGCCGGTTGGACTTCCACGTCGACAAAGTAAGGTCGAGCCTGTGGCACAGGAGATCGCGTGTTCATGCAAGCGAGCCCCGTGAACTTGGCACGTGAGCACCGTCAAGTGGCTGTCCTCTACTACAGCACAAACTGAGAATGCACAGATTGCAGCATGTGCAAATGTTGCAATCGATGCCGCTGCTGGCCTGAAGCACTAATGGTGTGTAGGGGAAGCCGTTGGAGCCTTGCGACCAAAACCATGCCGCTCGAAGTTGCATGGAGGCTTGCAGCAACCACTCTGCAATCTACCCGCCACTGCATCGCCCCTCTTCGCATCTCTTCACTCCTCGTGTCGTGGCTACTCCGGAAGCTCTGGGGCATGCACGAGGCACAAACACTTCAACAGGCGCTGAGATTGCCCCGGACTTCGTCTTTGCCATACCTCAGATATATCATATATACCGGGTAGGTTGCACATCAGGCTCTCGGCTAATGCATCTCCCGCCTTCAATGTAGACCACTGCCCAATACGTTGCGCTGTAGTTCAAGCCGCAGTCCGCAAGGGTCATGTTCGTGATGTTGCCAGAGGCGAGGACGGGCACCCCAGCTGGGGCACACGATTCGTTGTTTGTCGGATAATACCTCGGTGCAGATGCCAGAACGCGATTCCCTAGCACGGATGCAACAGTTTCGACCGTTCCAGAGCTGTCCGTAAATAGGTCGCATGCCGGTCCAGGAAAGTGGGGACGTCCAGAAAATAGGCCAAGGCCTGAATCGCCACAAGCTGACTCCAAGCCCATATGCGTCCCCCTCCCCAGGACGGCCTCTGCATAGTCTTCGAAGAGGGCTGCCCAAGCAAAGCCCTCTCTGCTGGCCATGAAGCTTAGTCGCACCTGGCAGTGGAAGGTACTGAGCCCTGTGCGACAGGGCTTACCTTGTCGGCTAGTCGAGGATGCAAGAACGCGACAGTGCCACCCCGTCCAGAGTGGCGCTGTTTTCGACGGGCAGAGGTGAGTCCTCAAAGTTGTTTGCCTCGAGGACCTTAGCACTTTCCAGGATGGCACTGCAACTTGCATAGCGATGCGATTACGTTGCCAGGTTTTGGCAACTTCAATGTTGACACAGCAGGATGTCCGCTTCGCACCGCAAGAATGCCGGAACACTTCCTCAGCCATTGACATAAAAACTGATCGGCCCAGCGATGATGCCGTCACCGTTGCCATTAAAGTCCTGTCAGCTCAATCATAACGGCTTCCTTCTCAATGTTCTTGCAGGGTCTTGCTGTAGCGGCCTCGATGTACACGTACAAGCTGTAGAGTCTGTCTTGGCTGAGCTGGCAATTCGTGAGGACCAACTCCTCCGAAGGAGGGGGGAGGGAGGCAAACCAGGGCCTCTCTGCAAAGGACCAAACCTGCCTGAAGTGACGCCGTCAAAACCTCGGAGCTGCGCTGGCACTCGGCCAGACCCAGTGCACCGGTGCCGGATTTGATCTCCTGGGCGCTTGAACACAGTGTCTTTCCGGCAGGCATCCGGTCGCTGTGCCTCAACCGTGATGGCCGCATTGCCTTCGCGAAGAAGCAACCAGAAGCGTCCAGCAAAGGATGCGGTCATCCTTAGCATGTGTATGCCGGTCATCTGGATTTGACTGCTTGCTTTCCTGACAAGTGGTTCGACCAAGCGTCTGGAAAGTGAAGCCAAGTCCTGTGGTCTCTGAGATGATGGATGGGTAGACCACAAATATGTTCGAAGGAGTGACCTGGAACCTCAGTAAGGAACGTGTTGAGAATCTCCGGGAGGCTTGAATGCTGTCGAGTAGCGTGACTGTCCCCGCAAAGCTGCCATCATTCCTGACAGCCAACATTAGCGCTTCACGATGCAAGACACTAACATATTCTGCCGAAAGCACCCTGAAGATGTCGTGCCCTCAATGTAAGAGTGCAGGGCATACTCGGGACCAGAATTGAGCTTGCAATCCGACAGATCGAAGGATTGCCTCAGCTGGCGGCTACTGTGAGGAACATCGCCGTAACATGCACTCCGAAACTTCGAAAAATTGACCAAAGGTGCAGGCTGTCGTCCACAATCGCCTCATCACATCATCAGATGCAGATGCATCATGCGTCCCAGGCTTGGGCTGGAGGGCTATCCCTTTTCTGATGTACTACGACTAGTGACTAGTGACTATAGTGCTGGACGGAGGCGCATGTTCGCCATACTTTCCTGTCACAATAATTCCCCACTCCCCGGCACTTCTGGCCGCCCCAAGCAATCACCTGAAGATTCTGCTAAGGAAGGTATCTGTAGCTGTTCAAAACAGGGTGCATGTACAAAAGTACAGGATAGCGGATCAATGTTCCGAATGGCGAGTGGCTGCAAGCACGCGGCAGGTACTGGCACCCACAGCCCCGACGCCAGCCTTGATATCAGATATCAGAAAAGGGCAGTTCCATCAAACCGGCATGGCAAGTCTGGTAACTGGTCCCTTCAGGACTCGCCTTGATCAGGTCGATGGTAAGTGCCACGGGTCCCACAGTGATCATCAGCCACAGGTAACCACTCGACCTGCGATGCGAGGCGCCGGGCCGGTTCAGAACCAAGGCTGTGGCGGCGAGTAAGTCGCGACATAGCTTTGTCTGGCGCGTAAGGAACCCTGAGCTGTTAGATACCGACCAGCGACCATGCCAAGCACCGTGCCCCGCATTGTGCTACTTTGTTCTGCACGGCACCTCGTCCGCAGCTGCACGGTGATACCATCCTGAGGTTTGAGAGGACGCGCGACTCGTTGACGCGAGAGCCCTGACTACCTCACACCAAGCAGCTCCGCTTGGCGGGCCGGAGATGGTTGGGAATGTAGAGAAAGCGTTGCTGGCACTGGTTGCAGTTGAAGAAGCCTCATGCCCAAGGCCACATCAACACTTCTTCCGGGAGCCTTTGAAGGTACCTCAAAGTATAGTTAAACACCCCATCTCAGCGCATGATGCCAGAGAGACACGCCGTCAACCGTCCCGTCCAGGTGTGCTCCAATGCCAGAAATGTAAGCCAGAACGGTATATCGATTGCCGACTGTCAGGAGGCAGCCTCGAAGCAGAAAGTGGGCATTCGCGCATGTTTCGAGTGAAATCAGCGGTACTTCGCACTCTGATAATTTCTGGTACAGGATGGGATGGGCTCCAATGGGTGTTTGGTGGAGGCGGAGCGAGTATTTTGGTGGGAACACACAGGCCAGCCTGAGAAGACCCACGCTTCTTCTCGATTGGCAAAAAGCTGTCGAGGACCATGTCTGCAGAAACTTAGTCACGTGAGCTTAGTGCAGTGTGGATCGCCTTCAGCTGCTGGTCGACTGGATCACACACAGAAATGATTGAAGCGGGCTGACCATTCGGGCAGTATGATGTCACTGCTGAAATGCAGTGACTACCTGATTGTGCTCTCGATGGCTGCTAGGACACGGTCCACCCAAAGCACCGTCCAATCTGTAGACATGCTCCTTGCCACAGCAGGATGCATCAGGAAACGAAAGGACTCGTCCCAGCTTGTAACCTTTGTCAGTTCATTTGAGGTATCTCTGCCGGCTTCTGGATGTTGACACCTTGCTTAACTTACAAGCACTGCTATCGGCTCGAACATCGCACCGACCTCGACCGACAGACCTAGAGAACTGCCTTGTTGCTCGTGCTGAACATATGGCTAACAGAAGCTTCAAGGGTGAGATTGGACGAGCCTCAAGTCAACGCCCTTCTGTTTGACCTTTACCGCTGAACCCATGTGGTAAGGTGCCAGCAGCACGGTCCTTCGTCGCTGAGCGTGCCTGTTCTTCCGTCCTTGAGATGTCAAGTGCTTGACGCTGGACATCTGCAGTCAGAAGATATGGTATTGTCATTTTGCATGGCTACTGTATGGCATGTGGAGGACATGTCTTGCTAGTCGTCATTTTGCTGCCTGGGCTCAAAATCATCGCCCAACCGTATCCAGGCCGGCGTGGCGTAAAGGCCAGCGTGACTCCACTCTCTGTCAGTGGACCTCAGGTGTGCTACCATCCGTGCGCATGACACGAATGCCTTCCGATCACTCGCTGGCTCCGAACATATCTGGATTTTGCATAATCATACACTCTGTTCCAACAGGAAGTAGGGTATCTTTCAGATATCAAGGTCCTCGGGCCCTCAACTTGCATACTCTAAACATCTGGACATCCGAAGAGACAAGCTCGCAAGTCTTTCTGCATGCCGCTTGGTCTCTGTTGAGCGTCGGAGAGCTGTAGAAAGTGTTCGAAAGGCCAGAAACCACCTGAGTTTTTTGGTGTCGGACAGTTACGACAAACACATCCAACAATGCAACATGTTGCAACGTGCCTACCGGCTCTTCAGAAGCTCATGCTCGTACTTGCAAAATCTTGCACACACACACACCATGCTCCGAGATGCTGTAAACTCGATGGGGCCCGACAACGTTCCGTCATTGAGCCCTGCGTCGAAGCTCGCCACGCTTTGAACGTAGGTCGCCTCTCAATCAAGTGACCATGGAGGCTAGAGGGAAAAACATCAGGCGAGCTTGCGAGCGATCATGCGAGTCACAATCGGGAAATCGCAATTCTGCTAACGAGCCACGATGGCGTAGGTCCCACCATGCGATAAAAAGCATCCTGTTGGATCTGAAGGGTTGTCGTCACCTCATCGGCAAGCAGTGGCCAAGACCACAACCACATCTGCCAGCATGGCCATGAAATCTGCTGAGAACCGGAGGCTGCCCCAGGCAAAAGTCTCTTGCCGGGTCGCTTCCCAAGCGCCAGAAGTAAACTTCACCGCGTGCAACCGCCTGGGCAAGCACCAGTGGGCCGGAAACGACAGGCATGCGTTCGACCTTCGGAGCCACTGCATAGCATTTTGCAGTGAGAAGGCGCCTGCTGTGCCCGATAGCAAGCTGCCCCACCCACGGCATAGGTACCATCCTGTCCGGCAAGGCAGGATGAAGCTCACCAAAACTCGGACCCCTTCTCTTAGACTTGTTTCCTTTGTGGTGCTTCCCGCTACATGGCTCTGTATTCCCTTCATAAAGCCTCTTTTCGTCAGCAAGGCAGAAGCCAGCCCCAGTGACGAGGTCCTTCATCGTTGTCGCTGACACCATGTCGAGGTTGCTGCTCTCAACAACCATTGCCCAAGCCTGACTGTGGCTCTTGCAGTTGCTGGACATGTCCTGATTCTGGGTGAACTCCCTTCTCCAACAAATTGGTAAGTCAGACCAAAGCTGGCTGAAGTGCCAATGAAAAAAAAAACATTGTGCAGCCCCTCGAGCCCGAATCTGAAAGATTGCACTGTCTCGCATTGCACCTACGTCACAAGCAAATTACAGTACCCACACATTGGCGCACCAAACACTCATTGCACGATGATCCGCCAACTGCACACCAGGAAGCCTGAGCCTGAATCTCGCGAAGTTGGTGTGGTGGTTTGTTTGTCGACATGTGTGTGTGTGTGGGTTATCTTCTGGCCATTTATCCCTTCCGGTGGTGATCTTCAGTGATCTTCTTGTCGTCAAGTCCTCCGCCAAACCACTTCGATTTCCGTGCCCTGCTGCTTCAGGTTTCTTCCATCCAACCCTTCCTTCCGTCCTTCCCTGCCGAGTCTTGCCTCTTCCTCACTCGGCTCGGGGTGGGTAAGGGGCTCGGTTACATGTCTCCTCGGCCGGCTCTCATCTAAACCTCAAAATCGACTCCACCTTGAAGCCCCAAAGGCTCGGTGGATCGCCATCACGACGACCACTACTACTTCTCCTGTTTCTGCCAGTGCTACTGCTCGGGGGTGCTGCTGCTTATCTGCTGCTGCTGTTGCCATCGATGCCGGAGCAACATCTAGCAGGCCGAGCGCACCACATCGCGTTGATGCACTTTTTTTTTGCTGGGGCTGCCCATTGCTTTAGTTTTGAAGGCTCTCTTCCTGCCTGCAAGTTGGAATACCACTACGAAGGGCCTCTTGCCCATTGGTTTGGGGCAAAATTACCGCTGCTTCTTTGGAGGTCTCGCTGAACTCATTTGTTGTTTAGTCACTCGCTTCTTTGAATCAGGGTATGCGAATGCTTTAGGTTACTGAGATGGTCTTTCCACTTGTTGCATGCTTCAAGCAGCCATAGCGGCCAAGAAGCGTAACCGTTGACGGCAGTGGCGCTGAAGCGAAGTGACACGCCCTCAGGCACTGGGGTCGAGGCCATGGAAGGATGCTGAAAGAAGGCGCTGCTGACCTGAGAACATAATCAGATCGAGTGCAGGAGGTGTGTCAGAAGCTCGCATTGCAGAACACATCGTTCTTGCAGAACGCAGAATCAGGCAGCAAACATCCTGAAATCAACCGCTCAGCCAGCAATTGCTTCCGAAGATCCCAGGTAGACCTGGCAGTGTCGTGGCTCGGTTTTAGCAGGGCCACAGACGTTTCGTCAACCCAGAAGGTCACAGAGATCCCGCGTCAGTCTTGTGTGCTTCTTTGCAGATCAGACGGAACTGCCCAAAAAGCAAGACTGGAAATCTATGCGTCTGTTCCTACATGTGCTTCACAAGAACGCGGTCAGAGAGGATGTTCGGAACCGGAGCGAGGCCCTGTGACAAGGCTGAGGGAGTGTTCTCGATTGCGGTTGTCTTTTTGTTGCTGCTTTTGGTGTTGTGGTGGTGTGCAGTGGTGGTCCGAGCAAGTGAAGCTGCTACCGTTAAGCTCTCTGCTCTTGCTGTTCTGGATAGTTTTCTTGTCGTTCTCATCATCGTTATCACTGTCGTGGCGGTTGTTGTCGTTGCTGTTATTGCTGCTGTTGTTGTTGTTGTTGGTTGTAGTAGCGCCGACGGACCATTACCATCATCACTTTAACTGACAAGGCCACGGTCTGCATCTTTACCGTTACCATCCGCATTTCGTCCAAATTCTCACCGCTACTGACTGTGCCCGTTCTGGGCCTCATGATCCTCTGTGGGGTCTGAAATCCTGATGTCACACGCGTATGTCCAGTCAATCCGGGTCCTTCATGTGTTGCAACTTTGTGCTGTCAACACATGTCTCCAGTTCAAGTTGGATAGGTGCAAACATCACTCCATCAACAGAGTAACGAGTACAACATGCCGCGGATCCTAACCGATCGTACGATCGTGTCAGATGTGTCTGTGTAGCTGTTGTGGAGGAAGCCGCAGGTGCGCGGTGGAGGCTTTCCTGCTGCCGATGCAGCAAGATATGTTGGGGCAAAAGAACGTCGCACACGGCTACAGAGGAAGCGTCAGCCGCATGCTTCCCAAGCAGCTACTGGCTAAAGTGTTGACATCGTCTTCGAGTTCACGTCTCCACTTTGGCATACGGAATTAGTGAAACCATGACATCCTGTAACGCAATACAGTCACAACCGCCTGTCAACAATTTATGTCGGTTTGTATCGATTTGTCGATCCTAAAGTCTTGATAAGACAGGTGTCCAAACACTTGCTCCTTGGTGTTCCGAGCACCGTAAAGGGTCTTCTCCAGCGACTCATGGCCGCAATGTCACTCGTCCTCATCTTACATACGAGTACTGCAGCCTCCTACCCTTTTCGCTGCATCAAACATACATAAATTAAATCTTTCGCATGTTGCCATGAACACCGTTGAATCTTGCGATTTGCGCGTCAATACTTCGAGTCTTGTGGCTTCGCGTGAGTGAAACTGCTCGGCCATGGATCCGTGAGACACGCCGGGGAAGGCCTTGGAATGGGGCTCGCTGGCTCCGGAACAGCAGGCGGAAGTGTCGCAGTGTAGCCAATGCCCTGGCATCAGTCGCCCATTGGCAAAAGCATGGCTCGATTCAAGAGATTGCAATAGGTCTTGAATAAAGCCTTAAAGGAAGGGATTCATTGATTAGGAGCCTGCACTGATCAAAGCAAGTGTCCGAGCAGAACTAGGTGCTCTTGAATGTTGCCTTGCCCTTCCCAACCTACTTCGACGAACACTTGTCGTGGAGACATTGGAGCGCGTCACGTAGCCAGCGCTGTTGTAGGTGCTAATCCTGCCCACCCCAGGTGCCCCATGCATTCATGTAGATGGAAAGCGTTTTGTCCGGACGTCTCCATACTTCGATGGTTACCGACCCAATCTCGACGCTGTCGAGTGTCCTGAAGATGTAGGCAAACTGCAGTTGCAGGCCAGAGATGAGAAAGCTGGTGTCTGTCCTTAGAATCCGGTTGCTACGCAGTCGGTTCGTCGTAAACAGCTTCAAGCACATCGTTGCATCACAGCGGCGTCAGACCTAAAGTGGTAAAAACGCCACCCACATCCATTTCCTGAGCACATCAGCCGGTGAGATGCCCTGCAATAACAACTGGGTCGCCTCCTACGGTAAAACAGATCTCTGACGAGCGACGATCTCGTACGTGAAGCTGGAGCCGTTCAGGCCGTCGGTGCTCGGGGCTGTCCAGTACCTCGAGGTTTTTGCATCTTGTCTCTCCCTTATTCTCCGACAATCCTAATTATTCTAACACATGGCTGTAGGTCTGCACGTTTGCACGTTGCCGCAGCATGAGAAGGCCTACGCTGCTGCTTCATCTCTCTCCCTGTCTTGTCGCCTGTCAAACATCTATTATGCAACCTGCGGCCGAATTTCCACTTCTTGCGCCGGGTCACAAAAGAATCTGACTGCCTTCGGGCTCGCCCAAGCGAATGTCCTGAAATTGGTCGCTCTCGGAATAGACATGGAAGCGGCATTGATATGCCTTGCATTGCATCGGAAGATTTCCAGCCACGGTTCGCGAGGGGCTTCAGAGAGGTCCGCGGCGTAGGCAGAGACGGTGTTGGAGTTCGGCCCACAGCCCAGAGGGCCCTGCGAGGGTGGCTGAGGCGCTGACGCGCGTCGCAAGCGGGGGCACTGGCCTCGGGGAGCTCCAAGGTGTCCACGCCATAGGCTCCCAAGACCTCGGCTCAGCAGTTCGCAGCGGTGGAAAGCGAAAGCTTCGAAACCTTGCAAAGATCTGTCATCCGGACTTGCTTCAAATCTCCGGCCGAGGGACACATGCCTGAATCTGATAGCGATACAGTTGACCTCGAAGGGCAAAGCGGCAGTCCGGAGACAGGTGCTTATATAGGAACTAATGCGCCTGCTTGCAGGCATGATGGCGGACATGTACCTCGGATCACGTCAACTTCGGACAGCCCTGCGAATGGCCCCTTTCGAGCAAGCCAATTCGCATTTCTGTGCAACAGAAAGTAATTCAATGTTGCGACTTTTCCACGCAATCTTTCAAAACGGCCAAGATGCAGGACCCGTCGTCATCTGCTGGGCTAGCGAAGAAGCAGCGACCGTCGTCCACGTAAGTGCGGTTCTTCAGGTGTTGGGCATCAGCGAGCAGTTCTTTTAAGTGTCATGCAAAAGAGCCTAGCAAATCACATCATACCCGAAAGTGTGTGCCGAAACCGTGATTTGTCCAGGTGTCAGCTGGCACTTGCAGGAGGCCGTCAGCGGGTGTGGCATAGCCCACGACTCGAAACCCGGCTTCGGGATAGTAGCGCAAGATTCCTTGAATTGCCGTTAAGTTCAAAGTGTGTTGCTGCAGCCACGGAATGCTCAGGATAGTATTGCGTCCCAAGCTGCGGTACTGGTGGATTGGGACACATCCTCGCCGGCTTTAGGAAGGCATGCGCGCAGCCATAACAAGAAAGCATTGACAAACCGGAGTCACCGTGAAGCTGTCCAGTTGAGCTATCTGCGAAGCTGCAAAACGGCTACACTTGCCCATGGCGCGTCACATGCACATCCTGTGTCTTCTGGCTCTTCCCATGCGATGGAGATGGATGAGGTCGTTGTGTTTGTGATGACCACATTGCGAGGTACACCGGGCAGCCTGAATGAAGTCTGCAACGGTAGCTCAGTCAGCAGTTGGTTCTCTGGCCTCTCTCCTGCCTCGCATTGGTCACGTCCAAGGCAGTAGAGAACGGACCCTCCCCAATGGTTGTAACGGTGGTCCTGAGTAGCGATGCAAACAGGCTAAGACGGAGTAAACCTGATGTACAACGAAGGCATTCTGAAAGCCTGCAGCAGCCCATGCCGCACAAACAACCCGTTCTTGCTGTTCTACCGGGCGTCATAGCAACCTTGTACTGCCCACCGCATGTTGCATTTGCAACTGTGAACTGTACCTGATCAAGAGATTCACATCTGCAAATGGCAGTCTACGAAATAGAATAAATAGATGCGCACGGAAATCATTGCATGTCACAACAAGAACTGCAGGGCCAATCCGGCAATGACTCAAGAAGAGAGTTTTGCAGCCCTCGCAGCAGAGAAAGCATCACAAAATGAGCAAGGGTGCGGTGTCGGCATGTCCAAGCCCATCGAAAACCAGTCTTGGATCCTCCATGGCCGGATCCCACCTCAAAAGAGGATGCAGGATGTCTTCCGATCGGATCCTATTCTCGACAAGACATCAACTCAGTGGCTTCGCCGGCAGCTGTTCAGACCAAGGGGCATATAGCCGCGGGCACCCCAATCTGTCGTGACAGCTTCCATGCGTGTGCCTGTGCCGAGCATGGCACCGCCGGGTCTCCTTGCACGGGCAAGTGCGTCAAGAGGCAAGGCTCAAACCTGAAAAACGATGGGCCGCAGCAAACAAAAGTTTAGCAAAGGAGCTCCCACTGAATCTTTATAGTGCCTGCCTCAGGCATTGGTCAAGGAAGTGGAAATAGTTTAGATGCCAGACTCGCTTGGCATGGCTAACCGTACCAGTGCAAAGGATGGTGTACAGCTGCTGCTTTATGCACTGCGCAAGCTTGCCACCGCGGTACGTCAGACTCAATACGCTGAACGAGGCGAGGTCCTTCCTGGGCAAACACCCGAAGTGAGGAAAGCCAGGGCCTGCTGCGTGAGGAAATTAGAGTGTTTCGAGCTCATGTGAAGTGCATGTTTTTGATATGCTGGCTCCAGGGAAGGCTGCGGTGAACGCCCCTTGGGTCGAAGCCTTGATGGTCTAGAGTAGCACCATTCTCGGCAGAAGCCAGCACAGTTAAGTAGAGAGCGCCGATTCTAAACGAGTGCTTTCAGCACGGTCGTAGAAGGCATCTCAAATCTTTGTGTTGTGGAGAAAAAAGCTCGTCTTGTGCAGGTAGGTGCCATGGCAGATGCTGGTTCTGTAAATCCTGTACATCACGTTATGAGCCCAAGCCGGGCTGCGCCACCCCTGGCGAATGGGCTTCCTACGGATTCAGGAAGCAAAGAGGTGGAAACCGGAGCGGTTCGATCAGGTCCCTCCTTGGCGGATGGATCTGATTGGCCGCAAGATGATGAAGATACTACGGCGGAGGGTGAAAAAGGCGGTGGAGGAGCTGACGATGTTCCAGGTCCATCGTCCACGAGAACCGCAGTAGACAATCGAGATGATCCTGGCGTGAATGGTGGAGTGGCGACATCGGAGATGACTGGAGCGCAGGGACTACAGGCTCGTGCCGACATGCCTGACCAAGTTGGACCAAGCAGAGCGATGTCAGCTGCGGGGCCGCCAGCTCCGATGGACGTGGATGCCCAGGGCGAGGCTGCTCAGGGTGCTGAACTGGGAACTTTCCATACGCCTAGGTCAACTAGATCGAGGATGAGCTCCACAATGGGGCCAAGGAATACACAGTCTGGAATGTGGCCGGGCTGGGTAAACAGACTGGGTGAGATTTTCAAGGCCCCTTCTGTTCAGTGGCTACCGAGTCCTATGCCATCTCCGCCGAGACCCGGACGAGTTTTGGAGCCACCGGAGCAAGCGATGGCCGCTCCAATGGTTTACTCGTCCGCGCACATGGGACCTTGGCCAAATGCAGGTGATGATGGTAGGGGTGTAGGCCCTAATCACCATAATACCCCGAGCAGTAGCAGCCTGCCAGCAGAAGAGATCCAAGCCGAAGTCCAACGCCAACTGGGAAGCTTGCTTGATAGACTACAGCAAGCAGAGAGCGAGAACTACAGATTGCAGGACCAACTTCTACGTGCCCAGACGTCTCAGGCTCAGACAGCGGCCTCGGCGAAAGCTTCCCCTGGTGATTGCAGTCAAGGAGTATTGGGTCGGGGTGCTGGAGTTGAAGGGCAAGCTGACAGTGTACCTAGAGAAGATCCTGTTACCGCTGCAATGCATGGTGAAGTACCTAGAGGGGATCCAGATTCAAGGGGAGGAGGTCGTCCAAATCCATGGCGTGATCCACTGGGAGCTCTGTGGGAAGAACTTACCTCGGGGAGATCACCTCAGCCTGCTATCCAGAGAACTCAAGGGCCAGCGCGAGCGGAGGATCCTCATGTCACCACGGAGCCATCCTCCACCGCTGTTATTCTGGAGGCCCTCACCCGAAACTTGACCAGTTTGCAGGAGCTTCAAGAGAAAACCCTGAAGAAGGACATCGATGGTGATGATGTTCCGGAACAGGTGAAGAGTACAACGACAGCGCTACCCGTTCTACCTGCACCTGAAGGCAACGCTATGGGAATCCTGCTTCAAGACTGGCTGGCGCAAGTGGCTGCGCCAACGCAGGACTTGTCATCGTCCTCTGGGGTATGGTGGTCTCAGGTTCTGGAGTTGGTGCAAGCGACATATGCCACGTGGCTATCAGCATCGCCAATAGAACGTCTTCAGCTGGAGCCTAAGAACCACGAGGAGCTCACCAAGGGAAAGTGGACAAGGGTGAACGCGAGGGCGTGTTCGTTGGTGCTGCAAGCGCTTCCAGAAGCGGTGAAGCATGACCTGATTTCTAGGAGAGTCGTGCAAAGCTCTCCGCTGATACTTTTCCGCCTTCACACAACCTACCAGCCTGGCGGAGCCTCTGAGCGATCAACAGTCTTGAACAATCTGCAGCACGCTGGACAGTTTGAGACTATGGAAGAGTGCATGGTGTGGTTGCGTGCTTGGCCAAGATGGATGCAGCGTTGCAGAGATCTAAAGATGATGGTTCCAGATGGGTCAGTATTGGCCCGAGCCTTAACCAGTACAACCTCAAAGTTCCTGACGGAGAACTTGGACGCACAGTTTCGCACCCAGTTGTTGCGCTCAAGCCTTCGCATTGACTCGTAGCCATCACAGGCAGATGTTTCCAGGTACCTAGTACCAGCAGCATCTACAAGCAGAGATGGAGGCGTTGATTGCGTCAAAGCCAAGTCACCTCAACACTTCTGTTCGGGTGAAGGCTATGGGAGCTACGTCCACGCCATCTTCGCCAATCTCAGCTGGGGTTTAGGGGGAGCGAAGAGCTTATGCAAATATTTTTTCAGGCCAAGTGGATGCCGACGGGGAACCAAATGCCCCTTTAGCCACGCCACGGCGCACCTTTCGAAGGCCGAGCGGGCTAAGCGATGTCTGGTGTGCGGCGGGGAGGACCATCGTCAGAGGGAGTGTCCGACAAAGGTTCAAAAACCGGGTACCAGGCCGAGCTCCACAGGAGGAGCTGTTGCTGGACAAGGATCCACGGCGGCACCTGCAGTTGCAGTTGCCAAAGCTGAGCCAGAAGGGGAGGTGTCGCCATCTTCTACGACTGCAGCTGTGGTTTCTGGGGAGCCAGTTTGGACCTTAGAGACGCTACTGCAGGCGGCGGCGAAGGTTGCAGGAGCTACGCCAAGCAGCGGTCCCTCGATTAATGTTGTGTCACTTAAGGCACATTATCCGCTGGGCGGAGGCGGTCAGACGTTCGCTTTGGTTGATTCGGGCGCTACACACGCTTTACGACAAGCTCGGTCTGAGGCTGAATGGCAGCAGGCAAGTCCGGTGGTGGTGAATTTAGCGGGTGGAGAGTCTATCAGCTTGAAGATGAATGATGCGGGCACCATTTTGGTACCTATAGCTTCTACCACGACGGCCAGTTCTTCAGCTCCAATTGTGCCACTGGGGGCGTTGGTTGGACAGCTGGGGTACACTATGACATGGAGTAGTAATCGCTGCAAGCTGGAAGGGCGAGATGGTGATACTTACAATCTAAGGGTACGGGAAGGTTGCCCTGAGATAGCTGAGCAAGATGCGCTTCGCTTGATTGCCCGCTTGGAAGATGACAACTTGGAGCTCCTACGTAACAATACTGATGCAACCAAGAGACGAGTGAAGGCGGCTGCATTGGCAATGGAGCGCACATGGTTTGACTCCTTGATGTCGTATGTGGATGGAGCAATGGCATCAGAAGCACTGACGGCGATAGAAAGCGCCCCTTTTCTACAGGAAGTACCAAAACTTTGCAAAGCTGGTTTGGTGGAGTCGTTTCCAGAAGCGAATGGCTGGGAATCCTTAAAGGGCTTAGAGCATCTCAACCGGAGAACCAGGAAGCGCCTGTGGAGTTCGGATAAGTGGTTGGTGCACTTGTTCTGTGGGAAGCAGGAGAAGAAGGATCTGCAATACCTGGAAGGCCACGGTTACGTTGTCTTGGAGTTGGATATAGAGCGAGGACGCACCCAGGACATTCTTCGCCCCTCAGTGTGGCGCGCCCTGGAATTTGCAGCACGCCACGGGAAAATCGCAGCCATCATCGGTGGACCCCCGCAGTCTACCTTTATGATTTCAAGACATGTTCCGGGAGGTCCAGAGCCAGTTCGGTCGCCAGAGTTTCTTTATGGTGGGTGGCCGGGCCAGCCAGATGTGGATGTATGCAAGGCCAACAGGGAGACCCAGTTGCTGACTCGCATGATCTACTTGCACGCACTGTCTACAGCAGGAAGGTTAAGATCCCCTACAGGAGTAGCTACATCAAAAGAAGTGGCGTTTCTGGTAGAGCATCCCCGGGATCCACGAAGCTATTTGCAGTTCGGAGACCCCTTGTACCCTGATGTGGTTAGCTTCTGGAGGACATCCCTTTGGACAGAGTATGCGCTGGAAGCTGGACTCAATTCCTACAGCTTTGATATGGCTGCGTTTGGCAAGGCGTTCACTCGCCATACAACAGTGGGGACCAACCTCCAACTGAAGCACTTGGATGGCTTGCGAATGAAATGGCACGCAGGCATGTCGGATCCTGATAGGGCCCCGGCCTGTGAGTGGCCAAAGGAGTTCTACGAGCACCTAGTGGTCGCGCTGCGTGGTTGGGGTGTTACGCCAAGGATGGTTCGTATGAGCGCGGACCAGTGGAGAGAGCATGTTCGTCGAGGTCACCTCCCATTTCGTCCCGATTGCGCAGTATGTGTTCAGGCGGGTGCTACAGGGAGAAGACACGCTCGGATTGAACGTCCTTCAGCCTTTGTGTTATCGGCGGATCTAGCTGGTCCGGTGAAAATAGGTGGACTAGATCCAGATGCACGAGGAGCCTACCCAAAGCCCTACAAGTACATCTTTGTTGCCAAGCTTCGTGTCCCTAAGACCTTCGTCGAGGACGGTCGGGGAGTCTGGGTGGACTACGACAATGGGGAACTGGAAGAGGATAAGTACGAAGACCAGGATGATGGACTATCGGTAGAGGGTGGAGCAGAAAAGGAGTCGAGTCGTCCAGAGCCAGTTGATGATGGAGATGGGGACCAGGAGGAGCCGGCTAAGAAAAAGGACCCTGAAGAAGATCTAGATCTTGCGGCCCCGGAGCTGGTGAACTTGATCTTCGCCACTGGCATAAAGGATGACAAGGCCCCAACAGTGCTGGAGGCGATCCAGGACGTCATTCTCTATTGCCAAGCTCTTAACATACCTGTTCTACGCTTTCACTCGGATCGTGGGATGGAGTTTCAGGCGAAAGCTTCTAAACAATGGCTGAAGAGCCAAGGGATCAGAGTTACTACGTCTGAAGCAGGTGATCATCGTACAAATGGTGCAGCTGAGTCAACGGTGAGGTGGATAAAGCAAAGAGCGAGAACGCTATTATTGTCAGCTAAGCTACCACAACAACTGTGG